TTTTTGAGACAGGGTCTCACTATGCAGTTCAGGCTGGCCTTGAGCTCACTTTGTAGCCCAGGCTGGTCTCAAACTTGCAATGGTCCTCCTGCCTCAGCCTCCAGAGTGCTAGGATTACAGGCGTGCGCCACCACACCCGGCCTTCTGACTGTATTGAAATTTCAGAAGTTTGTAATCTCTAAATCGATTTCCTTCAGGAATTTTCAAAGGAAGTTGACGAGAAGTCCTCCCTAAAGACTGCAGTCCTGAGCACTGGGAACCAACTTCTCCACCTCAAGGAGACAGACACGGCCACACTGCGAGCCGCTTTAGCACAGTTTGAACAAAAATGGACACTGCTCATCACTCAGCTTCCGGATATTCAAGAAAAGCTTCACCAAGTGAGTGCTGAAAGACCCCGCATTTGATTAGCATTCAGTTGCTAGCTCACAACTCTTTTAAAATTATTTTTCTGACTCAATAATTTTCATTGACACTACCTATTTTTCCCTGGCTCCACTGAATATAGGTCTTAATTACAGGACTCTCTTCCAGGGAGATCTTTCTTAAGAGAGAAATTAGGCTTAATTACTTTATTTCTCGGTTTATCTGTGCCACTGTCTTAGTTTATAGGAAGGTCTTTATCATTGTTTGGGGGTCATTTATTCTAAGCCCGGATTCTGGGTTTGTTTTTGCGGGTAACCTGCATAATTATGTAGCAAGACCTCTTATCAAGCCAGATATCATCTTTCTCGATGCCCTGCTTTATTTCTGCTAACTGCAGGTAATTAAATGGAAATCATTTTGTCCTTGCAGCTTCAGATGGAGAAATTGCCATCCCGCAAAGCAATCACAGAAATGATCAGCTGGATGGACGGTGTGGAGCGTCAGATGGCGGCTGGGGAGTCGGTGCGCTGTCCAGGTTCTGCGCCGCAAGTGAAAGGGCTTCTTCAGAAGCTTAAGGTACTGATATGGGCTGAAGTCTTTCCGTTAGCTATGAAGGCACGTCACAAGTGAGGACGGCAAATGCCTACCCTAGAGACACACGGCGTATAGTTCGGAAAATCTAATTCTGGGGGTAGGGCGTGGAGTGGGGAACGATTCTAGAGACATGAATTAGCCGCCTGGCTTCTATCCCGCCTCCACCCCCGTAGTCACTCCCGCCCCACGGGACAGCCCACGCTTTTAATGAGCCCGGCGTCCCTGTCCCTCTCCAGCCTCAGCTCTGTCCCCCTGTAAACTCCGCGTGGACGAGATGGCTGTGGGTCCCTTGCCCACTTCTGCAGCTCTTCCTCCTCATATTCACGTGGCTGCCTGCCGCTGTCAGCCGAGGGCATCCTCCTTGGCATCCTTCAAGGGCCAGCTGGAGTCCTCCTGACTAACAAACCCACCCCGGTTCTTGCAGCAGATTAGCTGACTGCTGGACAGAATGTCTCCACAATGCGGTTGCTAGCTTCTGTCACCCAGTATAACAGTCATGGGTTTGCTCAGCTGTCTCCCCACCTTGACAGAGCTTTTAAAAGTAGGGGCCTTGGCCAGGCATGGTGGCGCACGCCTGTCATCCCAGCACTCAGGAGTGAGCTCAAGGCCAGCCTGAACTGCAGAGTGAGACCTTGCCTCAAAAAGACAGACAGACAGACAGACAGACAGAAATAAATGAATGAATAACAGTAGGGGCCAACCTTCACCTCCCCCAGAACAGCCCTGTGGATTACCTCCAACAGATGTGAGTAAATGTTCTTTGAGAATGAAGAAGAGAAAGCTGATGTCCTTCGACAAACAGTATGACTGGCCTCATCTGTCAATTTTTCAAAATTTTATTTTAAAGACACATTGTTTTCTTCAAAGTGCTTGCTCAGATTACCAGATATCGGTATGCGAGATGGATCAAACAATTCAGCATTAACAGTTCCTTTCAATAAACCAATAGAAATTAGTAGTACAATTATCCTCCATCAATTTTAATTTCAAGTAATTCGTAATTAACATTGAACAAGGCACAAGCAAGCATGTGTTGTGTGCCGGGCAGCCTGCTGGCCATGAGAGCTCAGAGCTGAACCATCAGACACCTGCTGCCGGCGGAGCTAATCTCTGACAGGCAGAGGATGAACGTCTCAGTCACCCAGTGTGACAGGAGCAGAAGCTGTTTCTATGTACCGCCCCTTCCTGGTCTTTGAAAGATATACCAGGCTCTAATAACCAGCACTTGCCCCCTGGTTCCCTTGGACATCTCCGTGGGAGCTACCAGAACATTCCTGGATAAAACGTAGCAGACGGCAGGCTTGCTGTAGAGCTCCACACTGTCCAGACTGCCTGGGGAGGCCTAGATGCTCCCAGCCGAAGCTGCAGACATTGGCAGAGCTCCTAAAGTGTCCTGGGCTTCCTGAGACAATCTTCACTTCTTTTTTCCCATCCTGTTGTCCCCATAAGTCTCAGGGTGGCCCAGAGTCCAGCATTGCTCTTGGGCAACCGCTCACCAGAACCGTCTGTCGGAACCCGGGTTTTGATGTTCCTCAGCTCACAGCAGCTGCCATGTACAAGGGTCTCTTGGACTTCCCACTCTGTTTCAAAACAGCCAGTCTCACCGGGGATAGAGCTCAGTGGCATAAGCACCTGCCTGGCAAGTGCAAGGTCCTGAGTTTGATTCCTGGTACCAAAAAAAAAAA